AGTTACTGTTATGCAATGTTTAGAAATTGACTGCGAAAGGAAAAAAGAAGAAATTAAATCATTTGATACTGTACTTGATTATTTTTTTAAAAATAGTAGAAATATACTTGTGCCTTTATATTTTATAGAAAATATTGTCAGAATTAATAAAGAAATTAATAAATTAAAAAATAAAATTAGAACATTAAAAGATTGTTTTGATAAAAAAATATATTAATAAATACGAGCATAATTTGCTTTTTCATTTATTTGGAGATATAAACCAAACTTATCCTATAATAGGAATGGAGAACCTTGACTTGACTAAAGAATAGAAGAAGGACATTTATGTCTTTTTATCAAATTATGTCATTCCCTTAGGTCAACCATTATGTTACCATAGCAAGATTGATTGTTACTAGTATGCTGTAACTAATTTCGGAATACAACTAGCCCTACAAGAAAATGAATAAATATAAGGCAAAAGAGAACAATGTTCTTTCACATAATACCAAAGAATTATGCTCAACTTGGAACTGTTTCTGCAGATCCTTACAAAATACCACTAGCTAGAGCAAGGATGCTAAATAAAGCAGCTATAGTTACATCCTGTCACATTTCGTTGTTGATTATGTCTCGCATCATCTGTATTGGGATGAGGCCTTCTGTTCTAATCGCATCTTTATTTGGATCCGGACTAATAAAGTACAATGTTGGTAGTCCTCGAACCTGTAACAAGTTTGCTATACATTTCAGTTTCTTACTAAGAAATCTTGACAATATAGATATTACCACAAGTCATTGAGGTAGTAATCAAATTCTAAGTGGTGTATTTGGTGTTGGGGCAGATGGACAACACATAATATCTCTATCAAAAAATCTCTTCCGTGTACAAATTCAGGTCAAAGGGAAAAGGAAAAGAAAATAACAGCAAGAGAATATTACCTGCATGTCACGCGCAAATTCGTATTCATCATCTGTGTCAACCTTCACTATTAGTGCATTGGTTTCATATTCAACAGCAAGCTGTGGAAGTGGATCAAACTTAATGTTAAAGCAAACTAAAGATCTCAAGAAGATCATTATATGCAAACAAATTAGCAGCAAACATACAAAATCAAATTGCTATATCATTGACTTCCATTCACGTCTCATAACAAGTAATGACATTGGATAATTTTTCTACTTGTTCCAAAATAACTAACCAAGTAAACTCACAATTCATATTTATAAGTTGGCATTGCCAACTCTCCAATGCATTATGAGAATGAAGTCCTAATGCAAGGCTGCATCAGATCTAAATCTGCTTTATACTAACAAATGTCACCTGTAAAGATCTTGTGGAACCGTATTCCACAAACCAGCCAAAATGTAAATCCCCATGCAGCTAAGATATGAACAAATGATCATTTTTCCCTCTTACATTACAATGAAAAGTTAATCTTGACCAAAGAAATAGAAATATATTTGCTATCTTTTGTGATGTAACCTAGTCTGACAAACTCCTAATGCAAAAACACCATTATAAATGTGTGTGCAACACATTGGAGCATGAGAAAATAATGTGCGCATGCATCTAAGTTGCCTTGGTAAATTAACAACTTGGACAATTTCTCCAATACAACCGATATTGTAGCATGAATCCCCACACTTTTTTTTGATAAGAGCATGAATCCCCACACTGTAACAATTGTTCAGTTGATTTTAAACAGAAGCAAACTAAATAGAGGAGTCTGCCTATGCAATTGAGTAAAAAATTGAACATTAAGCTGCAGGTTATTGAAAAGAAAAATTGACTGGAGTAATAGAAAAAGTTAATTTGAAGAGAAATAGCTGTTCTTATTTATTTGATATAACCCTGATGGTATACAAATGCAGAACTGCACATCTAACGTACTAAATATTTTGCAGTAGACTGAAATAAGTATTGATGAGGTCATGCACAAAGATATTATCATTCTATAATTCTTGAAAATAGTTTTTAACGTTAATGTATGAATATAATCTTCTGCATCTCTTCTATACTTCAGTTATTTCTAAAACGATGGAGAATAATCATCCCAAAGTTGTAATTTGTAAATAAACTACTTTTTATCATAGGTGAGTTTAAGCCAAACAGAGTCTAAGCCCATGTTTGGCTCATGTTTATGAACACACTTTTTATCCACACATCTTGAGAGACCTACAAATACTACTTGCTTATTCATTACTCATAGCTATCTATTTATAATTTAAACCATTTATAAACACTTCAGAAACATGCTTTAAAAAAAATGCTCAAGCTGGACATGGTTATTTTTGGAGTTGAACTACCATGAGCTTTTAACCATTCAAATCTATGTCGAGCTCAAGCACCTTGGTCAGTTACATTTTATTTTATACTCGTAAACTTAAGTGGAACTTGAGCCAAGCTCAAAAATCCATGAGCTTAAAAATTTGTCTGCACTTGCCTTGTATTACTCTTAGCTTCAACGAGCTTAAAGCTCGTTGAGCCATAGTACCTCCATTTGGTCAATAGTTGCTATATGTGTGTATATAATTGCATTTGAAGCAACAATCCTTGTATAAGAATGCAAATAATGTTTTCGTTATTAAAACTGAAATTTGTAAATTCTTGTGAAGAGGACATCATCCCAGTGCAAATATGAAGCATTACTTGTACAAAGTCCATAAAAAAAGATAAGATATTAATAAGGATTTCAATTTCACAACTGTAGCAATTGCATACAAATTGACTTGCAATCTGAATTTAAAGTTGTAATACATGGGTCTCAAGCCCAGGCAGACGGAAAATGTGGATTAGAATTAATTGTCTTCAGCAGTATAACATCTCTAATATGGTTCGAGAACAACTGATGCCTTTGTTAGCTAACTTCTGATGTCAGAACACATCTCTGAGGTTGCTATTGCAATTAGCAATGACAAAGATTCCGAGATACAAGAACTGTTCTACTGGTGGCTAGTGCAAAAATCCTTATGATATGCATACTACCAATCCAAAAATATTGGAAGCTTAGATAGTATAAAAGCGCACTGTATTGTAAATACATAGATTTACAAAGAAGTCTAACAGAATTTGAAGAAAAGTTGTCAGAAGATACTCTAGAAAACATTTATATTTTAGAAAGCGCACTCCCAGTTCCATGAAGTCAGTGAAAGGAATCATATGAAAATATCTCAACCACTGCCAATAATCATTTGTATTTTTTGTTCAAATTTGTGCATGAACGTTATTACTTTGTGTCATCAGTGACACCGAATTCAATTATTAACCAATTATGAGTGTGAAATAAGTACAACCAATCCTATATTTTACAGCATACACAAATAAATTATATGAGTATGAAATAGGTAGAACCTGTCGCATGAAGAACATGAAGGAAACTTATTTCCCTAATCAAATTTCTCTGAAAAAATCATGTAAAGATCAAAACATACCATTTCAAGTTCTTGAGCCATCAAAATACAGGGACCACACCATGTCGCGTAGAAATCAATTATCAATGGTACATTTCTCTCTCCCTTCACCAGGTCTTGCACTTCTTGTGCAGACAACTTTTTCTACCAGATCAAATAATGATAGAGAAAGTGAATCAAACATTTCAGCAAACAATAAAAATGCCCAACACCCAAATAGATTTTTCCTCTTCTCTTTTATTTAATTGTCCAGAAAATAAACTACCAGTTGCCTATTCTATGAAGCTATACATATTAGCACTAATTAGCTATCCATTAGTTCTTTAATTGACAAATAAATCAAATCCCAGAACTAAAATGAAGAGAAATTTCCATAAACTAAATTAACTTTGTAATGGGCAGATATAAGTAGATACCACAAGATAGTCTTCTCTGACATATTTCCCAGAAGGGGGTTTGCAGAGCAGTTTTCTTGATAGCGTGTGAGTTGATAAGGGAGGGAGTGCTCTCTTGCTAATGGTGGAGGTCAAAAATAGAGTATTTGGTTGATGGATTTTCAAGGAAAAGGAAGAGGTGCTAATGGGCAGTGTTGGGGGTGAAGCGTGGAATGAGAATATGGAAGCTTGCATTATACTTCTTATCTGATGCTGTGGCCTGTGCGGGAGAGAGAGAGAGAGAGAGAGGGTTTTTTGGTGGTTTTTTGCCTGAGAAGAAAATGTAGCAGATAATTCGAGGAACAAGTATAGGTTCTGTTTGCCTGCGAAATAAAATTCTCAATAATTAATTAATTAATTATATTTAGGAGTTTGTTTGAAAAATCAAAATTCACGAAATATACTAATAAAAAGTTGATAAAAGTTGTCAATTCCGTAAAATATGTTGTTAAAATTTAATTTTAACCGATTGAAAGTTAATAAAATTTTAGAAAAACTTTCTCGAACAAAAACTTTTTTGAAGTTGAAAAGTACATATAGATAAATATTATGAATAAATATGATTTTTGTAGTAAAATTGCCCCTTTTTAAGAAATCAAATATATGTATCACCACGATGTTGTTCGATAAAATTTTTGATAATAATTTTAGCAGAATGTATGGTTAAAAATTGATAAAAGTTATTCATCCCCTAGAATATATTGTTAAAATTGAAATTTGATCAGTTGAAATTTGCTAAAATTTAAATTTATGTTTGTCTAGATTAAACATAAATTTGTAAATTCATTTTTCTTACTTAGCCCCTGTTTGTTAGGTATTTTTTTCAACATTCTAGAAATTTTCTTACCGTTAGACATGGAGCCAGCCGAAATAATTGTTAGCAGAATGTATGGTTAAAAATT